TCTTACTTTAAATGGTGATGGTTATTTTATTATCTTATATCTTGGTCGTTGTTTATGTCTGGTGTGTGTGTGTGTGTGTGTGTGTGTGTGTGTGTGTGTGTGTGTGTGTGTGTGTGTGTGTGTGTGTGTTGTCTACAGTTGATGTTTGTTATCTTGTTATCTTACCTACGTCTGATGTTTGTTATCTTGTTATATTGTCTACGGAGGGTAAATTTGATATCTACAGCTGGTTTTTGTTATTCAGGCCACAGCTGGTGTGTTTGTATGGTGTCCTGGCATGGAAATTAGGTTAAGTAGAGGCAGCTGGCACACACGGGGAGTTATGGCGCTTTGGTGTTGTGTTGGTGTTATTTTCGTGTTATATTTTTGTGTTGTTGTTATTGGTGTTGTATATTCTGTTGTTGTAGTCAATGTTGTTGTTGTAATTGGGGGGTTGTTGTTATTGTTGTTGTTAATGGTGTTGTTATTTTGTCTGTTGTGGTTGTTGGCAATGTTGTTGTTCTTGTGTTTTTATTGTTCATGTTATTTTGATTGTTGTAAAGGTTGTTGTTGTTGTTATTTTTATTAATTTTGTCTGTTTTGTTGAAATTTTATTGTTATTAACACTTCTTCTTGTAATTCTTCTTCTTCTTCATTTTATACATATTTTTCTCCATCTCCTCCTTCTTATCCTTCTTCCCCTTCTTTAATACCATCCCTCTTCTTCTTCACTCTCTTTATTCTTCTCAACATTATCCTTCATTTCCCTAATCACCTTTCACTTCACTATCCTCATTTTATTTATTCTTCATCCACCTCTCATTATCGTCATTTCTTATCCCGACTCCGCAAAGAGAATGCTCACTTTCCTTGCCAAGTTCTTTACCTCCTTACCTCATGACTCTCTCTCTCTCTCTCTCTCTCTCTCTCTCTCTTTCTCTCCCTCTCGCTCTCTTTCTCTCTCTCTCTTTCTCTCCCTCTCGCTCTCTTTCTCTCTCTCTCTCTCTCTTTGGGCAAATAAAGTCCTTAGTGAGTCAGAGCAATTAGTGACTTCCAGGAACCAGGTGAAGCGATCGAGTCGTGGCGGTAGGTGTGGCATTATCCAGAGCCGCTAGTAATTTAAGGGGTATTTTTAGCCTCTCATTACTAAAGGTCTCTTGCCCTCTCTTCACGTATAGACTTATTTGCATATTTTTGTTTATATTTTTGGATGTGTATTGGTCTTTTGAGTGTGTGTGTGTGTGTGTGTGTGTGTGTGTGTGTGTGTGTGTGTGTGTGTGTGTGTGTGTGTGTGTGTGTGTGTTGTGTTCTCTGGCCCAGATATACGGTATATCTTTCTTATATACATATTGTTACGATTTTTAAAGGAATATTATGAAAATTTATTGTATCCTTTTTTTTTTTTGAAGAGCTGAAAGAATTTTAATTGTTGCAGCACTTGACAGAAATTATCTATTGATGTAGTGGGGAAAAAAATCGTACGACACTTAGTAGCTTGGGTACGTTATTTTTTCTGTACGTGTATGAGGTTTCAGGGATCACCTTGGTAAAGCGATTATCGTACATCGATCTTTGTGTAATTTATGGCTATGGAAGTGGAATTTTTAGAAGATACGGGGAGAGAAATGAGGAGAGAGAGAGAGAGAGAGAGAGAGATGGGAGGAGGGGGGGGGTAACAGTGGATAAGTGGAAGAAGAGGATTGGAAGACGGATAGAGACTATCATCAACAAAATTGCAGACACAGTCCATCACACTTTGGCCTTCATCATCTACTCTTCCTCCTCCTCTTTCATCTCTTCTCCCTCTTCCTCCAATCTCGCCCATTCCTGCCCTCCTTCCTTCATTACCCTCATTTCTCTGCTCCTCCTCTTCTTCCACTCTCCGCTTCCTTCCTCCACTTCTCCTTTCCTCCTTCATTCAATCCTACTCCTCTTTTACTTTTGCTTCCTGCATCTTCCAATCCTTTCTTTCCTCATCTCCTCCATTCCCCTTTCTCACTTCTCTCTACCTCCCTTCTCCATTCCTCTCTTTCCATCTCTCAGTTTTCCCCCATTCTTCTTTCTATCTCCACCTTTTTTCTTTCTCCTCCTCCTCCTCCTCCTCCTCCTCCTCCTCCTCCTCCTCCTCCTCCTCTCCTCTCTTCCTTCCCTCTTCCACTCTCTACCTCCCTTTTCCCTACCATTTCTCATCTTTCCGTCCCGCTTTAGTCTCTCTCTCTCTCTCTCTCTCTCTCTCTCTCTCTCTCTCTCTCTCTCTCTCTCTCTCTCTCTCTCTCCGTCTTTAATTCCCCTTCCCACCTCTCTGTTCTCCTCGTTCTCTCTCATTCCTCTCCCCTCCTCCTCCTCCTCCTCCTCCTCTTCATCCCCTCCTCTCCCCTCCTCTTCCTTCTTTCCTCCTCTCTTCCTTCCTTCTTTCCTTCCTTCCTTCCTTCCTTCTTTCCTTCCTTCCTTCCTTCCCCGGCGTGAAAATAAGGGTGTAGTTATGTGTTCACGACCCTGCATTCACACCTCCTCCCCTAGAATGAATAATGAATGAGTTCTCAATATGACTTAATGACGCTCGTGGGGAAAAGAGAAATAAAATAGACATACAAAAGCAATATTGATGGGCGTGAGTTGTGTGGTGATGATGGGCGTGGGGTTGATGATGGGCGTGAGTTGTCATAGTGATGATGGGCGTGGGTTGATGATGATGGGCGTGGGGATGATGATGATGGGCGTGGGGTTATTGATGGGCGTGAGGTTGTTCTTGGTGATTGATGGGCGTGGGGTTGATGATGATGGGCGTGAGGTTGTCGCCAGTGATGATGGGCGTGAGGTTGATGATGATGGGCGTGAGGTTGTCGCCCAGTGATGATGGGCGTGGGGTTGATGATGATGGGCGTGAGGTTGTCGCCTTGGTGATGATGGGCGTGGAGTTGGTGATGATGGTGAGGTTGTTCTTGGTGATGATGGGCGTAGGGTTGATGATGTTGGGTGAGGTTGTTCTTGATGATGGGCGTGGGGTTGATGATGGGCGTGAGTTTCTCGGTGATGATGGGCATGGGGGTTGATGATGGGCGTGAGGGTTGTTCTTGGTGATGATGGGCGTGGGGTTGATGATGATGGGCGTACGGGGTTGATGGGCGTGGGGTTGTTCTGGTGATGATGGGCGTGTGGTTTGTTCTTTGGTGATGGAGTGGGGTTGGTGATGATGGGCGTGGGGATGATGGGCGTGGGGTTGATGATGATGGGCGTGAGGTTGTTCTTGGTGATGATGGGCGTGGGGTTGATGATGATGATGATGATGGGCGTGGGGTTGATGATGATGGGCGTGAAGGTGTTCTTGGTGATGATGCGTAAGCCTGTGTGTTACAGAGTCATCCAAACCCTAAATACAATAAATTTAATAAAGCATGAAAATAAACAATACAAGAATACATAAACATAACAATGGAGACTACAAGACACGATTTAACTCTCTCTCTCTCTCTCTCTCTCTCTCTCTCTCTCTCTCTCACACACACACCATCCCATGCCATCCATGAATTAATTTAATCAAACCCATGATAATAAAATTAGTTCATTACAGAGGCAGTAAACAGCGCAGTACAGTTCTGGCGTCGGAAATATAATATTCATACAAACATTTAGACAAACAGTGCCGTGTGGGGCCGGGTTACCAGTACTGTACGGTTGCATTATATTCTTCCCTGGCCCCTACAGTGAGTTTTTTATTTCCTCCTATTCCCAATCGTAAAATGACAATATAACAAATTAAGGGAAAAATATATAATTTTTTTTAAATAGATTATAATACAATATCCGATAAATTTGAAGAGGTTTTTAGTTAGGAAATATATATTTAAATTTCTTTCATGTGCTGTGAAAAATAATTATAGATCAATTTAATTTTCTTAATACAAAATGTGAGAAAAAATACGAACAATTATTAACCTTTTTTTTTATATATACAATATGTACTTACAATAATACTGAACAATAAGACTACGAACTTGTAATCTAAAAATAGTATCAGTGCCTTTTTTTCATTATTTTTTTATTACATACATTCATGCAAACCTTGGAGTGGGAGAGTCGTGTGCTGGGGAGGAGGGGTCGTGAGTTGGAGGGAGGGGCCGTGTTGGAGGAGGGTCGTGTGTTGGAGGAGGGGTCGTCTGTTGGAGGGGAGGAGTCGTGTTGGAGGGAGGGGTCGTGTTGGAGGGGAGGGCTGTGTTGGAGGAGGAGTCATGTGTTGGAGGGAGGGTCGTGTGTTGAGGGAGGGGCCGTGTTGGAGGGAGGAGTCGTGTGTTGAGGGAGGGTCGTGTTGGAGGGAGGGGTCGTTTGTTGGAGGGAGGGGTCGTTGGAGGGAGGCGTCGTGTGTTGGAGGGGAGGGGTCGTGTTGAGGGGAGGGGTCGTGTGTTGGAGGGAGGAGTCGTGTGCTGGAGGAGGGTCGTCTGTTGGAGGGAGGGTCTGTGTTGGAGGGAGGAGTCGTGTTGGAGGAGGGGTCGTGTGTTGGAGGGAGGGGTCGTGTGTTGGAGGGAGGGGTCGTGTGTTGGAGGAGGGGTCGCGTGTTGGAGGGAGGGTCGTGTGTTGGAGGGAGGAGTCGTGTGCTGGAGGGAGGGGTCGTGTGTTGGAGGGAGGGTCGTGTGTTGCAGAGGGTCCGTGTGTTGGAGGGGGAAGTCGTGTGTTGGGGGCCTGTATATATGTATGTATGTATACAGTTTATATGTAGAGTCGGGGTGAAAAGTCTTGAACACTTAGCAATATGTGGCATCAACTTGTGAGTTATACATACATGATTGGGATGTACTAATAACACTACTTGTCATCTAAGATCTTCGAGTACTTACATACCAAATACTGTCAAGTGTTCAAGACTTTTGATCCCGAGTGTACGTTTTATTACCAAGATCAAAGTTTCGGGAGAATATAACTCTGATACTTTTTGAACGACAGTCCATCCGTGACGTGTATGGTTACCGCACCACAACTTACCATAGATTGAGTGGCCTGCTCGTAAGCTTACCATGACCAGGCATCACTATAAGGTGTTGCTTGAGCGTGATGCTGTTGTTGGCCGGGAGGGATACGCCACTACACCACCCTACTTGCAATGCCTTCCATTATGTAGGCTTTAGAACTGTTTGTGGTGTGTGTGTGTGTGTGTGTGTGTGTGTGTGTGTGTGTGTGTGTGTGTGTGTGTGTGTGTGTGTGTGTGTGTGTGTGTGTGTGTGTGTGTGTGTGTGGTGTTTCTGTGTATTTTATCTGGGTGTGTGTGCATCTATGTATTAATGTGTATGTATGTATGTATGTATGTATGTATGTATGTGCCTCATTAACAACCATGAAGGATATAATTACGGGGACCTAATCGGTGCCCGTATTACCCTGGTTTTCGTACACGTCATTAATTACACGGTCGTATGAAACACTGTTATGTAAGAACAATAATTATATGGTAATTACCTCCCCTTTCAGTCCCCTCCATTCCCAGTAACTCTCCCTCCTCAGCACCTCTCCTCCTTCAGCACCCCTCCGCCCCTCCAGTACCCCTCCAGCTCCTCTCCTCCCTCCAATACCCTTCTCCCTTCACCACCTCCGTCCATCTTTTCTCTCAACACCCCCTCCCCTTAATTCCTTCAACCTCTCCCTCTTCCCTTCCCCTTCCTCTTCATATTTAGGGGAGGAAACACGTCAGGAGCTAAGATGATGACTTCCTCCTTGTTTCCTTCCTTCCTCCTAGTCTCCTCTCTCTCTCTCTCTCTCTCTCTCTCTCTCCATCTAGCTATTGTCATTCTCCTCCTTTTCGCTTCCTTCCTTTATAATTTTCATCATTGTTCTTCTTCTACGATTATTCTTCCCCTTTTCTTTTGTTCTTCCCTTTTTCCTATTTCCCCATGTCCGTCTCTCCTCCCTTTCACTCTCATGACAAAGTAACATTCGTTGTCTCCCTAACCCCTTTTCTCCCTCCACTCACTCTCCCTCTCCATCTTCCTCTCCTCCTGCATCCTTAGTTGTCTCCTTCTCCCTCTTTGTTTCTCCTTCCTTTATTTCGTTTTTTCATTTCAACCTTTCCTCCACCTCCTTCATCCTTTCTCTCATTCTCCCCCATTTCCTTCTCTCCTTCTTCCTCCCTCCCTCCTCCCTCCCTCCCCCTCCTCCCCCCCTCCTCCCTCCCTCCTCCTCCCTCCTCCCTCCTCCCTCCCTCTCCTCCCTCCTTCCTTCCTCATTCCTCTTCCTCTTCCTCCATCCTCATTTTCTTTCTCTCTGTCCTTTCTTCTTCCTCCTTCCTTTCCCTTACCCTTCTCCACCCTGTTTCTTTCTCTTAACTTTTCCTCCAACCTCCTATCCTTCCCTCCCTCCCCCCCTCTTCTCTCCCTCCCTCCTCTCCCCTCTCTCCTCCCTCCCCCTCTCTCCCTCCCTACCCTACCCGACGGAGGTGAAGAAGAAGAACGACCCCCAAAACTTCTCATTATGCTTACTCGTCGCCGACAGAACAAAGGGAGGTCCGTTCGGGTCTGGCACCGGATTCTCAGACGATCTTATGTTTTTCTCTTATATATTTTTCCCCTTAGCTAACTATAGACTTAAGATGTGGCTCAAAGATAACGGATAACAGATAGATAGATAGATAGATAGATAGATAGATAGATAGAGATAAAAACTGACACTGCTTCAGCATGTATATAGACAGTACATGTATACATAGGCAGTACATGTATACATAGACAGTACATGTATACAGACAAGGGCGGCGGTCTTACGGTGACACGATACAGTAGTGGTGGATTTTCTCGTTCCCCAGTCAGAGGAACCTTACGATGGCCAGCCAGGGTCATTACAGAGGGCAACTTCAGGGCGCAGTGAGGATGAAGAGTGTGTGTGTGTGTGTGTGTGTGTGTGTGTGTGTGTGTGTGTGGGCGCGAATGTTTACGTGTTGAGGGTGGAAACATGCATAGGTAAGTGTAGTGGGACGGGCGCCTGCTTCACCTCAACATGTTTTGTCCCTCCATGGCAGAATCTTGCAAATTTTGCCCTAGTTTAAGTTGTTGTAGGGAGAGGGATGCTGAACCAGCCTCTTTGCATGAGGTTGATGTTATGGTGGAGCTGTTGTTATCATGGGGTTATCGTGGGATTATGATGGGGCTGTTATCATGGGGCTGCTGTGGTGGGGCTATGATGGGGCTGTTGTTATCATGGGGTTATCGTGGGATTATGATGGGGCTGTTATCATGGGGCTGCTGTGGTGGGGCTATGATGGGGCTGTTGTTATCATGGGGTTATCGTGGGATTATGATGGGGCTGTTATCATGGGGTTGCTGTGGTGGGGCTATGATGGGGCTGTTGTTATCATGGGGTTATCGTTGAATTATGATGGGGCTGTTATCATGGGGCTGCTGTGGGGGGCTATGATGGGGCTGTTGTTATCATGGGTTATGTGGGATTATGATGGGGCTGTTATCATGGGGCTGCTGTGGTGGGGCTATGATGGGGCTGTTATCATGGTCAAGAATAAAAAACAGCCAACCGACCAATTTTATTTTTCAGGATTAAATTGTAATGCAACACTGTAATGACTTACCACAACAAGTGTAGACCAGATTATTATTTTTACATAATGTTGTAATCACACACACAGGTTGTAGAGAATGTAGCCAGATGTGGGAGGGTGGGTGGCAGTGGGGGAGGAGGGGTGGTAGGGGGAGGGAGGGGTGGTGGGGGAGGGTGGGGTGGGAGGAGGAGGGGTGAGAGGGAGGAGGGGGGTGGTAGAGGGAGGAGGGGTGGGGGGAGGAGGGGTGTAGGGGGGAAGGATGGGCTGGTAGGGGAGGAGGGGGTGGTAGGGGAGAGGAGGAGAGGTGGGGTGTGAGGGGGAGAGGATGGGCTGGTGGGGAGGAGGGGGTGGGAGAGGGAGGAGGAGAGGTGGGGGTGGTAGAGAGGATGGGCGTGGTGGGGAGGAGGGGCGTGGTAGGGGAGAGGATGGGCATGGAGGGAGGAGGAGGAGGTGGGGGTGGTAGGGGAAGGATGGCGTGGTAGGGGAGGAGGGAGGAGATGGGGTGTTAGGGGATAGGAGGGAGGTGGTAGGGGAGGGAGGGTGGTAGGGAGGTGAGGAGGGGGAGGGGAGAGCAGGGGTAGGGGAGAGGGTGGGGGGTGGTTGGGGGAGGGTATGGCAGAAGAATTACCTCCTTTTATTACTTAAGTGGTATGATAACTTACGCAAAAAGGCAAGGAAAGTTATTGCTAGGGTGTAAAGGCATTTTGTGTGTGTTGTGTGTGTGTGTGTGTGTGTGTGTGTGTGTGTGTGTGTGTGTTCATTTTTATATTGCTGAGTGCATTTAGTGCGATCTTGACTTCTTATAAGTTGTTGGTGTGTGTGTGTGTGTGTTGTATATCGTGTATTGTATGTACTGTAGAGCGGTGTATGTAGTATGATGATGTGTGTATATATAGTGTGTGTTTGTGTGTGTATCGGGCATATAACATACAGGTGTATATTTCGAGCAAATTGTGTGTACACGTACCGGTCATATATCATGTAAGTACTGTACGTTATATTAATTTCTCAAGTACAGCACATGAACGTTACTTGCGTACAGTAGAGTTGGAGTATGTGAGTTTGTAGTTGCGTGTGTGCGTGCAGGAGAGAGGCGTGAAAGTGGCTGTCCCCAGACACACAGCTGTCGTAAAACAATTAAATCGCCGTCACGTGCCCGGGAGGGGAGGGGGGGAGGGGGACACAAGAGGGTCATGTGTCTTGCAGGACACCACCATGCCTACTACTGCTACTTTTTTTTTTTTTTTAAATGGCCTCCAGCCTCCCCCATAGCCACACGTTCGCCGCCATTTTATTACCTTAAATATTAAATATCCTAAAACATAAGTAGCTATCCTAGCTGTGTTGAGTTAGTTGAGCCGCAGATCTATGCGGCATTCAGCGACTGTTGCCTCATAGTCAATATCTGCAACTGTTGTCGGCTTTGGGGCCGATGCTCTCGTTCCCTGAGGCAAAGCAAAGAGAGAAGGACAGTCGACATCTCATCCAGGCTGTAACATAACTTCTGGGCTGCTGCTTCTGTTCGGATAGCACCTCCGCGAGTCTGGCGTAGAAGCATCTTGCACTTGATCCCATCCCACCAGAGGTTGTGAACACTAGAGGAGTGAAGCTGCCTTGACCAACATTCTGAATTCTCTCCCCGTATGCCCTTATCTTGTCGTTCTCGTTCCTCCTGTGTGCTGCATCAAGAGCTAAGTTACTGTGACATGCGGCCATGGGATAAAAAATCCTGATGTCGAAGAAGGCTCGCTGTCCCTGCGTCCAGAATCCTCGAGCACTGACGTCAACACGGGCTTCGTTGGATGTATTTGAAGTCCTCTTTTACAGTACTTCTACTACTACTACTACTACTACTACTACTACTACTACTACTACTACTACTACTACTACTACTACTACTACTACTACTACTACTACTACTACTACTACTACTACTACTATAACCCCTACTGCCCCTATTGCTACCTATTGCTACTACTACTACTACTACCAACATTCCAACTCACATCACCACTACCACTACTAGGTTAGGTTAATTTATGTTAGGTTTGGTTAGGTTAGGCTCCTGACACAGAAAACCTCTATTTAGCGGACTATATGGAGAGAAAAGTCCGTTATATCGAGGGTCCTATAGTTCTTAAACCTCCATCTAATGAACTATATAGATATGAAGTCCGTTATATCGAGTGTCTTTTAGCTGTACCCCCTCCCCCCCCCTCCCAGCCATCTAACGGATTTTATATCGAGAGAAGTCCGCTGTATGGAGTTCTGACTGTAGAAAACCTTTCCTTGGTACAGTTCCCTTGTCACTATCACCGCCAGACGTACGACCAACTTCTGTGCCAATTCTCTTAAGGCATCACTGACCAGCAAACTCTACTCATGTTGAATAAAATAATTTAATATATATTGATAACAATAGCATAGTTATATATTCAGGATATATTTTTATAGACTAGAGTGACATCGTTTAAGTCTCCTCTATAG